CGCCACCACCACCGCCGCGCCCGGGCAGCTCCGCCTCCCGCTTTTTATCTCCCTCGCCGCCCTCCCGCGCTGCCCTCTTTTTCTCCGCCTTTGTCGTCCTCTCTTCCTCTTACTTTCTGGCCTAACCTCTGCGGGCGACTTGCCCTCCTTCCCAGCTCCGGGTCTGTCCCAGGGCTCTAGTGCCACCCCACTCCTGGTCTAGGAAGTAATTGTCTTCCCCGTTCGTTTCCTGATTCACCTTCCCCTCTTCACAGCTGCCCTCGCTCGGATTCCTTTCCCAGGTGCTCTAGAAACACCTGAAGGACAAAATCAATAGGTCAGTAGTTTGTCGCAAACATTGACTCTTAAGCCTTAGCCTTTCTTTTGCTTTGACAGATTTTTCAGAAATACATGTATTTATTATAAAAGTCAGTAAAGTGCAGTACGGACATATGTGTTGTGGGCGATCTTAGTAGCAGGTTTCTGTAAATCCAGGGCTTCCTAAAAAAAAAAAAAAAAAAAAAAGCCAAGTGGCCATTTACAATACTGGAGACCCCCTAGATCTCTCAGGCCACACATTTCAAAATCGAGCAAGCTTAAAGGTCTTTGCGAAGACCAAGATTAGGATAACTTTTATTTTTATCATTAAAGAAAACAGTTCATTGAGATTTAAAAATTAGTTCCTAACATTATGCTAGCAACAATTGGATCAGACGAGGGTAAATAAAATTAACATAACATAACCCTTGATTGCTTACTTTGCATTCAGGCAATTTCTATGAATTAACAAAGAAAAAATATTTTTTAAGTAGTAAGTGGTCAGACCTACCTCATTGCTACATTAGAATGTATTTTTTCAAACAGATGATATCAACTTTCTACCTTTTCAGTCAGTCTTGTTCTTGCTAATAGCTTAGGAATAACATATCCGATGGTAGTGAACTTGGGTGCCTCGAAGAAATAAATACTATTATCGAACTTTCTTGCCTGGTTCTGGTTTCTTTTAAACACAGCCTGATTTAATTTTTGTTATGAGTTTTATTTTTAATTTGTATGTCTGCTGGTTTGTTGTTAACATTTAACTCAGATAGTGTTCTGTCCTCCCTGCCTTGAAGGTCTTTCTTCATCATGAGAATGAACTTCTTTCCCTGCAGTTGTATTTTTAAAGAAACAAGGTAATGTCCCTGAGCTGTATTTAACTGGCAGGCAATTGATGAGTGCTTATTGAATAAATTAACCAATTTAACTTAAGTCTGTTTGGGTTTGGTCCCATGGGTGTCATTCCAGGTTCTTGTTAATTTTCTGGCGTTGTGATCATCCACTGCACCTGAGCAGTGAAGATCTGGATTTGAATTCTTAGCTGCTGAAAGTCACACAACTTTTGTAGCCTGTGCATTCTCATTTGTAAAATAAAGGAGTTGAGCAAGAATATCATTATAATAATAATTTCAAAATTCTTAAAGTTTTTATGGCTAATGCAAGAAAGTGGTCATGATGAGGTCAACTTCTGATTATATTTGCTTAGTCAATGTGCTGCCAGGCATTGCCAGCCTATTGTGGGATTTTCCAGTCTTTGGAATTTATTTAATTCATCTATCATAGCAAATCAAACACTTAGAACTGTGAACTGTCTTCCATCCCTAAACCTCTGCCCAAAGCCATTAAAAATATTTTTAATGATTAGGGAAATTGACTTTTATTATCCAAGGTTGCTGAGTAAAGGATCAAAGAATCGCCTAAAAATGTGTACTAAGTATCAATATGAGATGCATTTTCTCATGACATTTGATTGGGATTTATATGGTTAAGTGAAAACTCTGCCTTTTAAAATTTTGTAGTTAAACTAATTTAATTTTTATATAGTGAATCGTTTCTAAAACATTGGTTCACAGCATGTTTCTAAACTCTCCAGTCTATTAATTTTGTTTAGTTCTTTGAATTTCTTAAAATGTTTAACTATTGACTGTTTCTAGGCAAGTATGAAGCTTATGGATCATTGATCCTTTAATGTGTAGGTTTGTAACAGTTATAGTCATAAAAGAAGTTTCTGCATCAAATCTCAAGGAACATTTGATAGCAAAAGTACCTTTGTGGAAGGAGGACTTCATCATCATGGCGCAGATGTCATTGGAGTAAGCATAAGAAATGCAGTCAAACTGGACTTTGGAAGTGTAACTAATAGTACAAAGAGTGAGACAAGTGAGCTGCTCACATTTTATGAAAAATGTGTGTAAGGAAAACAGGCGTGGAGGGATAGGAAAAGAGTAAAGAAGGATATGTTTTTAGTATCTGTATGTACAAAAAATAAGATCCTTTAAGGAGTGAATACAGCACTATTATGGGATAGCTCTTCCTATTTTTGAATCTGTGCTTTTCTTTAACTATGCAGTTCTCAATGATGACTTGGCTTAATGAACGGCCAAAATAATAATTCAGCAGAAGTGTATTAAGAACAATGTACAAGGTCCCATAGGGGCTGCAAATACCTCTAAACCATCTTATTTATGGCTCCAACTGTTTTGTTGAGGGAAAGTTAAGATATATATACCTGGAAAGAAATAATTTTACAGGAGTCAACAGAGGATATAGTCCAATAACTATAGTGGTTTCCCCTTAACTTCTCTTTCTCTTATTCTGTAGGGCAAGAATAAAACAAGAAAAATAATGAAGAACATGATTTATGTCACCAACAAGAGAGTACAAGCTAGCCCACTAAACCAGAGGGGAGAATGGCAGAGCTCTTGTAATAGATGATAGACGCCACTTCATCCAGACTTTTCTGGGTGGGAAAAATAAAAATAAACAACTCTTAAGAAAAAGAGGTTTGAAATGGTTTTTATAAAGCTTAAGCTAGTAAGATGAAATGAAGAGAGTACTAGAGAACTGGATTTGGTCCCATGAATCTGGGCATGTCTCCTCTCCCTGGGCTCAGTTTTATTATCTGAAGTATATGAGGCCATTGAAATGGATGAGCCCTAATGATTCTTCTAACTTCAAAACTTTTATGATGTCTGGTAAAGATCACTTATGTTGACTAAGCTGTTTGGATGATTATTCAACTATATATGAATTTATCAGTATAGTGACATCAAAAGTGAATTCTGATCAGAAAATAAAAGGCTGGTGTAGGGTTTTCCTCAATAGAAGAAATTCAAAAGGAAAATGAGAGCAGATGAGAGGAATGGGGTACCGGTTATTTGAACTTGATCTACAGGATCCAGAATGTGGTATTGTACAAAGCAGAACTTCCTATCTGGAATTTAAGAAGAAAACATCTTATCATTTTAATATCAGGAATAAATAGGGCAAAAGACAAAGCATTATAGTCTAGGAGGCGACTTGAAGCATAATAATTTACCTCCTGCTGTATCCACCATGGTATAGCATATTTTACAATTTGAGGTAGATCAAAATTATTGTGTTATGGGGGAATAAAGAAAAAATATTTGGCTCTGTGAACTCTGTCTTTAACACTTTTTTAGGGAAGAGATTATTTCTTAAAAATTAAGAAAAATATCAAGGACCAGATTATAACTAAAGCACAAATTAAGTTATTCAGAAGAATATTGAAAAAAAGGGAATGCAAAGGGGAAAATACATTACTGGAGAAAGCATAAGATTAATAGTAAATGAGGAATAATTATAATTTCTAAAGAATTCAAAACTTTACATTGCATGGAAAGATAATATTGGTCAAACAAAAAGCTAAAAGATAATTATAAATAAAGAAAAATGAAACAAGATGTGTTGTCATTATTATTATGTATCTGCTGCCTGAATAAAGCAATGATTCAAGGTCAAGTAAATTAGAATAGTCAGCACCTAACAGTCTTGGTAATAGAGCAGGTCAATAAATATACATTGATTGGTTGATTGAATAACTACTTGCAGTTATTTTAGGAAAATCAAAGTCACTAGGGAAGTTGTGAATGTAATTTCTTAAACTAAGCAAGTATGAGTTTTCTTTATAAATAACAAAAAATGAAACCTTTCCAATAGCCACTTTGAAATCCTAAGCGATGAAATGCTATAAAAACTTTATAACATAGTGTTTACATGTAGAAAAACTTAAATTGGAAACATGTAAATGGCGGAACTATAAATGTGTTTCTGTATAAAGAAATTATATTTTACATCTTTGACTTTTTTTTATAGGTGATTGGAATGGGGAAAATTCTTTGTGAACAATTTACCAAAAAATGCAATACTATCCTCTAAGTCAATATTTGGACACATTTTTATTTCCAGGAGTGAATTCAGCTTTTTATATGGGTGATCAAGATATTGATAGATGACTTCAAGACCCTAAGTCAAAATAAAAAATAATTTTCAATGACCTAAATTGATGAGGGGCCTTTATTACTGTAAGTTTCAACAACCAGGGGATGAAAGATAGAGTCTTCTTTGACAAATATTTTACTAATTAATGCACCACCAACCATAGCTGTCTAGACAGTGTGGGCACTCTGTGTTGGTGCGTTGGATACAAAAATTAATAAGATGTGATCTTTTTAAAATAAGGTAATAACTAATTAATTCAAACCACATATTAAATTTAGAAATATAAGCCTACAAAACAAGAAAGATTTGCTGAGAGTAAAAGAAAAAGAAAAATCAAAATAGCTTTGGATGATTTCTATTCAATGATGTGTGTGTGTGTGTGTGTTTGTGTGTGTGTGTGTGTGTGTGTCTGTGTATTGTTGTCATTGAAAGAGAGAAAGAAACTCATAAGAGATTTGATGAAATCAAGAGAGTATGTCAATGAGTTATCCCAAGGTAAAATATAGCATTTGAGGGCAGAGAGTAATTCTAAATCCATCCCTCCCATGCAATGAAATATTTCTTTGTCCAGCACTGGGAGATTTGTGA